ACAAACTTCCCAGAATACTGAGTGCCCTGTTGGTTACAGTGTTTACTTCCTTTTTAATTATATTTATTTATTTGTGAAAAATACTTTGTCATTTAAAGTATAAATATGTTTTATTTTACACATTTATTTTTAAATCCATTTTCAAATTATTTAAAATTTCTTAAATATTAATTAAAATAAATGAAATTATATCGGCCATCCTGCTTTCCAAGATATCGGCATCGGCTGTCAAAAAACCAATATCAGTCGACCACTACTTATTTCACTCACTGAAATGCAAATCAATTTCTAACCTCTATATAATATGTTTTTTCTGGATTTTTTGGTTGATATTCTGTCTCTATCGTTAAACTGAACCTACCACAAAAATTACAGACCCTTCATTTCTTTGTAAGTGGGCAAACTAACAAAATCAGCTGGGGATCAAATAAATATTTTCCCCACTGTAATCAGGATGTGATGATTTTGTTCTGTTCTGTTCAAGTCACTGGATGGAAATGGTGCTATATTCGCAAATTTTTTATGCGATATTCCAGTTTTGCGCATAAGGTGGGGGGAGTGAATGTACAGCGCTCTCTCCCACCTTCAAACACACGACTTTCAAATTATTTAAAATTTCTTAAATATTAATTAAAATAAATGAAATTATATCGGCCATCCTGCTTTCCAAGATATCGGCATCGGCTGTCAAAAAACCAATATCAGTCGACCACTACTTATTTCACTCACTGAAATGCAAATCAATTTCTAACCTCTATATAATGTGTTTTTTCTGGATTTTTTGGTTGATATTCTGTCTCTATCGTTAAAATGAACCTACCACAAAAATTACAGACCCTTCATTTCTTTGTAAGTGGGCAAACTAACAAAATCAGCTGGGGATCAAATAAATATTTTCCCCACTGTAATCAGGATGTGATGATTTTGTTCTGTTCAAGTCACTGGATGGAAATGGTGCTATATTCGCAAATTTTTTATGCGATATTCCAGTTTTGCACATAAGGTGGGGGGAGTGAATGTACAGCGCTCTCTCCCACCTTCAATACCACGACTTAGGTGCTCTTGAGCAAGGCACCGAACCCCCAACTGCTCCCCGGGCGCCGCAGCAAAAACATGGCCGCCCGGGTGTGTGTTCGCTGCCCGGGTGTGTGTTCACTACAGTGCAAATGTTTCTGAAGACAATCACCTATTGCACCTATAAGTAAACTTTAACTGTTGAGAATAAAATCAGATGTGTATCATTATATTTGATCCACGCATTGTCTCTTAAAGTGACCTACTGTCGGTGTCCTTAATGTTAATCCAAAAATCAAAAAGTATTTTTTTGTGGCTGGGCCAAATGAAAATTTGAACCACTGGGCCACTACAGAAAATCCTTATTGTTGAGCCCTGCAAGATGTAGAAGAGTTTGTTTCTTCATCAAAACAGATTTGGAGAGATTAGATTTTTGTTTGGAGAGATTTAGCATTTTTTTTGGAGAGATTTAGCATTCAACACCAGTGGATCCTCTGCATTGAATGGGTGCCGTTAGAATTAGTCCAAACAGCTTATAAATGCATCACAATAATACACAAGTAATCCACAGGACTCCAGTCCATCAATTAGTATCTTGTGAATAGAAAAGCTGCGTGTTTGCAAGAAACAAATTCTTCATTAAGATGTTTTAAAGGGGTCATATGATGCTGCTAAAAAAAACATTATTTTGTGTATTTGGTGTAAT